CAGCCCGGGGTAGGGGGGCTTTCTGGGCTGCCAGTGCCCATGGCCGGCTCATGTCCAGCTTTTCATCCACCAGCACCCCCAAGTCCCTCTGGGCAGGGCTGCTCTCTATCCTTTCATCCTCCAGCCTGTATTGATAGTGGGGGTTGCCCCGACTCAGATGCAGGACCTTGCACTTGGCCTTGTTGAACCTCATGAGGTTCACTCGGGCCCACCTCTCCAGCCTGTCCAGGTCTTTGGATGACATCCCGTCCTTCTGGCGTGTCAACCACACCAGCTTCTGGCAGGGCTTCTCTCTGCACTGTTCATCATGCTGCAGAGCCCTGGCTTGAAGGAGAACCTGTGTCCAGCACTCTTCAAATACTGACTGACAAGTCCCCCAAGAAGGCTGCTACCCAATAATAGGTACCTCCAGTGCACCAGGTTGGCGTTGCTGCTTTTCAAGGAAGAATCATAGGTGTTCACGAACAAGCTCGAGGCAATTCCCCCATGTTGGGGAAGAGGTACCATCATTGACAACATATGAGAACCACCAATTAAAAAATATTTTCTTAACTGTGCATCTTGCAACCCAGGCAGCAGCATCCATCTCCATCAAGCATCCTTCAGGAGAGCGCATGGGTATGGAAATGTGTGCATCTCTGGAGAAGGAATGTTCTCTGGTTTTGCTCTTTGAAGGTTGCTCCTGTGTTTGTGTGAAGGCAGGAGCTTTACAGGACTGGTCCACCCTGCTCATGGGATAGTCGCACATTATCCATTTCCACACCTTCCATCGTGGTTTTTCCAGCCTCTCTAGCAGGAGACAGCAGGTCCCTGCTCCACCCCAAGAACCCAGAGGACACTCAGGGAAAGATTTGGACGCAGGGGAGCCCTGTGAGGTGAAGACTTGCTCCTGGAGGGGTGGGACACCAAACCCCACGGCTGTGGCTGGACACTGACCCCTTCCCTCTTTGCTCTGTCCCCAGTAAAGGTGCGGTGCAGGCTGTTCAGGCCCAGAATCAGATCTGCGTCCTTGACATCGACATCCAGGGCGTGAAGAACATCAAGAGGACGGACCTGAACCCCATCTACATCTCCGTGCAGCCTCCGTCCATAGACATCTTGGTGAGCGACTGCCTTCCTTTGCCGTTAGGCAGTTAGAGGTAATCAGCGTCTTGCTCTGAAGCAATGGGGGTTCCCCCCTTGTTCATTCATCTGTATGTTTTTAAGGGCTGCAGAATAGGGTGGGAGGATGTTTCTGGGCGTATGGTTAACCTCTGCCCAGTTGAACTCCCCAGCCTCTGGCTCCCAGGGATGAACCTTCCTGTGCCCTGGTTTTTTTGAGTCCCTCATGTACAGTTTCCACACCTCGGTGTGTTTGCCTGCATTGGGTTATTGACTCTGTTGCAGCATGGCTGGCCTTGAAAGGCTTTAGTTCTGCTTACGCTGGGGAGAGAAGGAGAGTTTTTGTGCTGAGGCTTGCCTCCAGATACTAAAGTTAAACTGAGAGAGGCTGGTTCTCTGCAGCAGCAGCAATCTTATACCCCTCTGGTCTTATGGGGCCCTGTATAATATCGTAGCGTGCCTCTGGGAGCGAGGGAAATCACTGTCATGGTTCGGGGAGGGATGCAAGGAGTACGTGGCAGAGAAGCCCGTGACTCTTGGCTCTCCCCTCTTGCTCTCAGTAGATTGGGCAGCCTTTGTTTCTCATTGAGTTTGTGGAGGAGGAAGCCGACGGCACCAGATGCCAGAGCCCAGCAGAGAGATTTCATCTCTCAGCAGTACCGGGTTGGGGGGGAAGCAAACCCCGCCCCCCCCAAAAAATCCAGGGTGGAGAAAAAGAGACTGGGAACCTGAGCTCTGGGTAGGAGATCTTGAGCCCAAACCCAGCTTGGCCACTGGTTTGCTCTGGGCTGTGGATGAGGCCGCTCACCCTTCGCAGAGTGTTCTCCCATCTGCCCGCGGTAGCAAATGGCTGGTGGTGGTCTCTGCTTGCAGCGTTTGAAAACACGCGTTTCTTTTGTGTGTTTGTCGTTGGATTCAGGAAAAAAGACTACGTGACCGCAAGACTGAGACAGAAGAAAGTTTACTGAAGCGTTTGAACGCAGCCCGCGTAGATTTGGAACTTAGTAAGTCCGGGGGCCTGCGAGTGATCTGCGCAGGGAGAGGGGATGTGTTGGTGATTCAGGAGCTGGTTTTTTGCGTGAAGATCTGATGTGTGTTCCCCAAGGAATGCTGGCAGGGCTGGGACGTTAGCTGAGTTTGATCGAAGCGCCGTGCGGCGTCGTTTCCCACTGCGGTTCCCTGGGGGCGGCTGGCAGAGAAGTGCCTTATCGGTGGCTGAAATAACAATATTAAAATGCCGCCGGAACTCGGGTCATGCACGAGAGATGACACGGGGGGAGGAACGCCTTCTCCTCTGACTCCTCTGTCCTCATCTCCTTCCCTAGGTAAAGAGCCTGGCCTCTTTGACTTGGTCATTATTAACGATGATTTAGAAAAAGCCTATTCCGAATTGAAGGAGATACTCCTGGAGGTGAGTCGTTTGGGGCCGTTCTGCCTCGCTCCCTGGGCGGGCACGACACCCAGGCTGAGCAGGCGAGGGTCTGTCTGCAGGCAGCCACAGAAATGTGCCCACACTGCGCCGCTGAGGGACGCAGCTGAGCACAGATCCCATATGAGCAATGATGGATTCCCAAAGTGGGAAACAGAGCCAGCGCGATACTGAGTGAAAATAAACACGCATCCCTGGGCAGTATGGAAAGGGTGTGCTATTTTTGAAGAGCCTCTTAAGTCAAACCTTGCCTCGTCCCTAAAGGCTCATGCGTAAGCTCCGCGCTTGGTCCTGTGATGCTGTGGAGCTCGTCTGAGGAGACGATCGCTTGTGCTCTCCAGAGCTGTGAAGCTAGGAGTTGTTCCCAAAGCGTGGCAGATGCTCAGTGGTTTTTCCTCATCTCCTTGCAGGAAATCAAGAAGACCCAAGAATCCAGGAAGTCCTGAGCTGAGCCTGCTTGGACGTTTTAACTTTGCACATCATTCCCGAAGCACGTCACACCATTTCATTCCGAGAGACATTCCCTTTAGGCCGATCCTCCTCCCAGGTTACTCTAGGATGTTTCTATTAAAAGGAAAGAAAATGAAACCCGGTCACGCTTGTGTTTCTGTTTCCCACGTGCTCGGCGTGGGCTCTCCCAGGTTGGTACCTCAAGCGGATGCTTGGAAGCGATTGCACGTGAGCCAGCAGGGTGCCCAGGTGGCCAAGAGGGCCAACAGCATCCTGGCTTGTACCAGGAGTGGTGTGGCCAGCAGGAGCAGGGCAGGGACCGTGCCCCTGTGCTGGG